CTGCATTCTGGACCAGCTGGAGTCGCCGAATGCTCTTCAAGGGCTGCCCCATGTAGAGCACGTTGCAGTAGTCCACAGAAAATACTATTAAAGACACTGTCCATCTATATTAATTTGGGAGTAGAATTAAATTTCATTTATGTATAATAAAATTTTCTTTACCTGCAATATTCCCAGCTGCATTCTGTAAAAGTAATTGGATGCAGTAGGAGTGGATATAATAAGCAACCTTCGTTTTTCGTAAAACTGATCTAGAAGAGCTGCTGCTGTCCTCACACCAATATTAATATTTATCACTGAAAGATATACAAAAAAATTAATCATGCTACCATGCCACCATGTTCATATAGAAACTTAAAAATAAACAACAAATCACATAGAAAAGAAGACAGAAAAATGCCAAAGTTTAAAAAGTGTTTCCAGCTCCTGGAGAAGGCTCAAGCTTTTTGTATACATTTTCAACAGACCCTATGAGAGTGCCAGAAATAGGCTCCAACCTCTTTTCTTCCTTTTCAAATCCAGACCACAGCACCATCCAACTAAGTAATTTATTTTTAACATCTGAAGTTATTTTTAAGTTGATGATGTAGAGCTTTGCATTTGAAAGAGGAAAGATGCTTTGGAAAGTTAAAATTTGCTGATGCAGCATCAGCCATCAATTTCTTAAAGCAGCTGGGTCTTTTTCCCCCCTGCATTGCTCTGCAGCACAATCCCAGGAGAAGTCTCATTTAATTTAAACAACTGCAGACAAGTGCTATGTGAGCAACGATACATTCTTTGGAAGACCTTTTTCCCTTTGAGTTCCCAGTATTAGAAATTTAAAAAAAAGATAGAAATAAAATCTCAATCTACCCCTCCCTTCATATCTCTAAACTTTATTATATGGCTTTTAATAATCAACATTTATCTAGAAAGATCAAGAAATCCACAGAAAAGGAATGGGATGAAGAGAAATACTCAAGTTAAGAGGACATCCATGAATTTTCATAATCTAGCAGGGACGTGCAGTCAGGGGAGGCAGGGCCTCACCAGTGTCATGATGAAAAGAAAAGAAAAATTAAAAGGAAAAAGGCTAAGGTAGTTGCTGCCAGAGTCACAGTGGGTGACTCTGCTTAGTGCTAACTGCGGGGGGAGGTGAGAGAACTACGGGCCTCCTTTGCATAAGGAATTTTTTAGACTTTTAACCCTTGCTCAGAGTTAAGCAAGGGTTAAAAGGCAAAAAATTCCTTATGCAAAGGAAGCACATGGTTCTCTGCCTCCTGCTCTGGCAGCAGCAACTCTTGCCTAAGTTGCCTTTTTCTTTTTACATTTTCATCATGGCGGACAAGAGGAGAATTGAAATCCTCTGACTGACACAGCTGGAAAAGGTATGTGGG